TCCTCTCCCCCAACCCCCTAGCTCTGGACTACACCCCCCCCCCCCCCATTCTTGTATTCACAAATAAATAAATCTTTTTTTTAAAAAAAAAAAGAAACACTGTGTAACCTGACCTATGTGTAAATTCCAGGCACCCACATTTTCCTGCAGTCTAGCTCCAAGTCAGCCGTGCCAACCTCCCCATGTCCCCTTGAGCAAGCTCAGCATGTCCCTCACTAGAGCCTGTGCATCTGCTATTTTTTCTGGGCACCTTCTCCTCCCAGATATCTGCACGGTTTGTTCCCTCACTTCATCTTTGTATCTGTTCAAATACCATCTCATGGAGAGAGCTTTGATTTATCCCACCCAAACAGCAGTCCCTCTCATTCTTTCCCTTGGATTCAGCATTAATTTTCTTCAGAGTGCTTATTGACCGTTCTCATTATAGAACTATGCTTTAAATTTATCACTATCTCCTTCACTAGAATATGTTTTATACGAATAAAAATTTATATGTCGCGCAGCGGGTTAAAGCACTGCACTAAGAAGCTTAAGCACTTCCGCATGAGTTCGATCCCTGCCTGCCCCGGAGGAGACCCACATGGCGTGGCAGACCTCTCCTGACCCGCCCGCTGCTCCCCTCAGCAGTGTACTTTGTAGATCTGCCTGTTCTGCTCCCCACTCTGTCCCTGGTGAATCCTCTCACCCTCCGCATCTCTGGCCTGTACCCCAGTTCTGTATGAATAAATAAATAAATCTTTAAAAAAAAAAAAAAGAATTTATATGCCTTGTTTACCCTTAAATCCCCATACCTAGAATTGTGTGCCAGGCACAGAGTATCCACACCTCAGTAGACACAGGCAGCTCATACATGTACTCAAAATTAAAATATGAAATACGGAGGAATTAAGGCTCACCCACACTCCCTCCATGCAGACACAGCCACTAACAACCTATTGCCAAGGGCAGCCTGAGAGAAGCACCTGCCTGCCTTTTGCAGCAGCAACTATGAACACAGGTGTCATTTCCTATTTGGTTGCATATACTATTTTTTCCTCATGGAACTTTATATTGTGGCCAGCATATAGTCTTCAAAAAGGTGACTTTTCATCAGCTACACAGGACTGAAAACAATAGATTTATTATCATTTATTTAACCCACCCCTTAATGTTCAGACCTGCAGTTCCTCCCCAAGTTTTGAAACTATGCTGACACTGCAGTGAAACAGCTGTAAAATGATTTGTCTATGTGTACATCTGATTATTGTCTTAGTATGGAGTCCTGGAAATTGAGTGACATATTAAAAAATACCAGTACTTTGGGACTGTTGATACCAATTTCAAAGTTCTGGGATATCCAGCCAACTTATACTTGTAATAGAAAGCTAAATCAGTCTCACCACATGTTCACCAATGTGAAATGGAATATTAAAAAATGTTTCTTTTACAGCCAAATGTCTTTTCTTATACATTTGTAATTTAAAAATAATTCTATTTCTTTGATAAGTTATCTGTTGAGGTTCTTTGCCCATGTGTTTTCACTTTACACATAGCTGTTAATTTGCCTGTTACTTTTGGATGCATGTTTTTTTTTTTAAAGATTTATTTATTTATGCATACAGAACTGGGGTACAGGTCAGAGGTGCAGGGGCAGCGAGAGGCTTCACCAGAGACAGAGTGGGGAGCAGATGGATGAAGTACACTGCTGAGGGGAGCAGCGGGCGGGCCAGGAGAGGTCTGCCATGCTATGTGGTCTCCTCCGGGGCAGGCAGGAATCGAACTCATGCGGAAATGGCTTTAGCTTCTCAGTGCTGTGCTTTAACCCGCTGCGCCACCAGGGAGGGTCTGGATGCATGTTTTATAGAAAAATAATTCATATGTTGCTTTGGTGGCTCAATTTGTGTTTGGTGACTTTTTTCCTTTGCTTTTATCCTCAAAAAGTCCTCTCCACTCCAAATCTGCTAAATGATAAGAATATAATTTGATTTTCCTCCTTTCTAATTTGTTTGTTGACTAGTTCCTTCATTAGTCTGGGATGCTCTCCTCATCTCATTTTAAGTTATTTAATACCTGAGCCCACTTTCAGAACTATCTTAACTCTATCTTAATATACCATTGTAGTACTGAAACAGAATTTTAAATCTTTACTTCTAAACAGAAGTACTTGTACAACTCCAGGCAAGAGACGCTTTGAGCTTCAACTGACTCATCTGTAAAAAGAAAAAACCTACTTTATAGACTGATTTTGAAAATGAGATAAAATTGTGTTTGTAACAAAGCATATATTAAGTACTCAATAAATGGTAGCCATTATCATTATTAGTATTATTCCATTACTTTTTCTAATTTCTGTTATTATTCCATTGTGATATTATTCCATTATGTGTGTTATTATTCCATTGTGATAATTTCTGTTATTATTCCATTGTGTTAAGGTGGGCTTAACTAAATCACTATAAGAATGCCTAACAATAGCGGGGCTGTCTCCATAATCTTGAAGGTTTGTTTATATTATCATAATACATTTTGTGTGATCAAGAAATTGATTCAATGATAAATTCTTCAACAGTTAACTTTACTAGGTCCCACTTATTAGAACTACAACAAAACTTCATTATTTTAAGTGATTAGTGCTAATAGCTATGTTTGGAATCAGAGTTAGAGAACCTGGAGATTGGATGACAAGTTGATAATAATAGTGTTTTCATACTTTTCTGTTGCTGTGGGAGAACAGATTAAATAGCAAAGTCAGGGAAGGAGATGGAATGACAAATATGGGTTTTGTTCTAAGCCTATAAACAAAATCTAAGAAGAAACTTTATGTCTGTAGTTTCTAGATAAGAATTCTTATCTATCCCAACTACCACAGAATGAATTTTAATTTTGATTAATTAGGCTCACTCAGCTCATGAAGAGGGTGATATTCTCCCTCAAAGGTGATACTATTATACTGATAAAAAGATTACAACTGTATAGAAAACAAACGAGAGTCTTATTCATGAGTTAAAACAGCAAGATAAATAACAAACTGAAAATACCCAGTGTGGGGGAGACTGAAGAAAAAAGAACATTTTTGTCTTTCTGGAGGACAAGTTGGTAATACATAACAAAATTTTAAGAAAGAACATTTTATTCAGGACATCTAGCTAGCTGAATCTGCGAGTTTTCCCCCTAAGGATATAAACATATGAAAGTATAATGATATATGTACAAGATTATTTATTATTTACATTAGCAAACAACATTTACAAAAGCAAAGTGTTGAGAACAAAAATTCTAAATGTTCATCAGTTGAAAGTGGTTTCAGAAATAAGGGTATATTTGTGTCTGTCTCTAAATTTACTTCCATGGAAAGATGGCCATATCATTGAGCTAAGGATATCTCCTAACATGTCAATAGCAGATATGCCTATCATGTAGAACTTCAGGTGGTTTATATTTTCTCCTTTACACTTAACTGTATTGCTTTAATTATTGCAGTAAAATTTTGTTCTCATTTGGGAAAACAAAACACAGCAATAACATTATGTGACAAATAAGGCTGATGATAATAGCTACATGTTCACTGTTGCTGTCTCTAGTCTTTCAGAGGCCACGGTTTTCTTTCTACTTTGCTCCATTTTCCAAATTGTCCATTACTGAGCATAATTACTTTTAAAATGAGAAAACAATCACATGCAATGATGGGGATTATAACCTGGCAGGCCCACAGGAAGCCCACAAACTTTCCACCTGGCTCCTGGGAAGACTCCTTTGCAGTTTAAGGGCCGAGGGATGACTTGACTGGTTACTCGCAAGGTTGGTTCCCTTTTGCCTTAGATCTCAAGGGGCGGGGACCTCGCCACTGACGCTTCCATATCAGTTGATATGTGGTGGCTTCTCTAGTCGCAACATTCATCCCTGAGTTGCATGTTCTAGACTAATTTTTTAATTTACAAATTAAGGTATTTTCAGTGGTTAAGTTTTGAAAGCTAAAGTAGAAAGAAGCAGGGAGATTACAATTCCATCATTGGAGTAAATGTTAATGTTTTGACATCTTTTCAATCTTAATTTCTTAATATACATTTCCTAATTTCTTAATAATACAATTTTTTAAAAGATTTTATTTATTTATGCATACAGAAATGGGGTACAGGCCAGAGGTGCAGGGGCAATGAGAAGATTCACCAGAAACAGTGGGGAACAGAACAGGCCGATCAACAAAGTACTCTGCTGAGGGGAGCAGCGGGCAGGTCAGGAGAGGTCTGCTGCACTATGTGGGTCACCTCTGGGGAGGGGATCAAACTCACACTGAAGTGGCCACAGGTTGGCTTGGCTTAGCTTCCTTCGCAGGGCAGTACTCCAAACCACTGACCACCAGGGAGGGCCCCAATAATATAGGTTTTAATTCCTTGATATACGATTGCACATCTCTTTTCCATTGATCATTACTAGTGTTTCCCTGTATCGTTGAAAACTCTTAAATATATGTTTAATAGCCCGAGCCCAATTATTTTAGATGTATCATTTATTAATTCCTGTGTGATTTGAAATTGAAAAACTTTTTTATAAGATCAAAGTAAGTTTCTTACAGGAACCATGAGAAAGATTCCTCCCCACAGCCAGGGCCTAGATCTAGTTGTTACCATTAATTGTATCTCTCCACCATCAAGCACCCCTTCTGACTACCCTACTCCAGCACTCTCTTGACCTCACAAGTGTATTTTTAAAAAATACACTAACTTAACATTATTGCGCTTAATCATCTGCCTCATACCCTCATTTTCTTCCTTATCCAGACAAAATTGTGTAGTCATTTATTTCAGTCACCCTCATGCTCCCACCTCAATCCACTGTGCTAGCTGAAATCCCAAGCCAGTTAAACCCAACTCTGACATCTCTGCATCTCCAACTGCAGCCAAACAAGTCCTCTTATATAATGTTGCCTCTGCAGACATTCTTGATGCATTTATTCCCTCTTTTACTTTTCCTGCAACTGCCCTATTTGGTGACCATACAGCTGCTACTTAGGTGTCTGCTCTTGCCCATCCATCCTCCACTCAGTGGTCAATCCTGTACTCCTTTGGGGCGGCTTCACTTAAGATGCTTTTCTCAACTTCCTGACCTCTCTCTTGACTTCCTTTTGTTCTCTCCCTTCCCACCCACCGACCTCTTTCCCCAACCCCCCAAGGAAAAGGAAGATGAAAATGAACTAGCACAGTGGGTGTAGCATCTAGAGGCTCAGATTCCTGTCCTGCTGTGTGACCTTGGGTCAGTCGCTTCACTTCTCTGGTTCTGAGTTTCCTCCCTATACAACATTTGGTTAAATAAACATGGAGATAATTTAACCCAGCTTTTAAAACTAACATGATTCTGAAAACTTAAGAAAGGAAAATTTTAACAGCCCCACTACCTACTTTCCTCATCATACCATCCTACTTCCATCGCTAAGCTAAGATAATGTCAACCATCTGGAGAATATTGTTATTTTAGTGCTGAGACTGTCCTTGGCCCATCCATGAGTCCCACTGGGTAGCCATAATGGAAATCCAAACACTCACCGTGAATTTCTCATAGAGCTCATAAGTCAGGAGGGGGTTGGGCAGCTCCCTGAAATATAACTTGCAGAGTGAGCCCACACAGTGGATGTCCTGGAGGTACACTTCTCTTGTCAGATCTGGACATTGATCTGAGCCAAACTCTTGCCTGAAACAACACAGACGGAGACATAACAATCCCAGGGAACATGTGTTCCATGTCAGCAGCTGCTTGGCTGCTTAGGGGTAAAAAGACCCTAAACTGCTGATCTGACTATATTTGTGGCCTTTACTTGAAGAGCCTACTGCAGGCCCAAGGAAGCCATGAGAAAACTTCCACTCCAGGTCTGGATCTTCCCTATCAAAGCCACTGGGGTTAGAAAGACATACTGCCCATTTACACATTGCGGCATTATGTCCACAGCCTCAGTTATGTACAGTGGGAAAATAGGAAAGCAATTTGGGAAAACAGCCTGTTGAGAATTCAGTTTTTCCAAAATATTGTTCTAAATGAGCTTCTCTTTCTTGGAGGAAAGACCAAAACCAGGGTGAGTCAGATTTGTTATCATTCATCTCCATATATTCTTGTCAACAAACTTGTTTTATCTGGAGGACCAAATTCACGGTTTGAGAACTTTAACTGCATGTCTTTGATGCTGAATGAAAGCTTTCAGGCTGCCTGATAGTGATCCCCACAGGATAAACGAATTATAAATATTTTCTTAACCAATCTATAGAGTTGTCTGGGAGCACCATCTGATTTCAAGTCTCATTTCTAATTTAAAAATATTTCTTAACAAGCTTACATAAATATATAACCTTGGATAATGTTATAATCTGTTTTAAAAGTGCTGTATTTGTGTTTTAATACAGAAGGGAGACTGCTCCAAAGTATTTACTTGCTCAGCAAAGCAGTAACAACGTCCATGGGAACCTTAGAGACTTGTAAAACAGCTGGCTGCCTGCTTGCCCAGAGCCTGGTTTTGCCCCTTTAAATAAAGGACAAGAAAGTCCCCCGTGCTTTTAGGACCTAAAAGGAACTGAGTGGGGCCTTGAAAAGAAAACCATGCAATGCTCACATAAATTCTTAGCTGTGTGGTTTTTTTCAAGAGGGCAAAACAAGAACAATCTATAGCCTACTCATTTATTTAGCTAAAAATTTTTCTTGTCAAGGCTAAGATTAATCCTGAAATGGAAAGGAATTAGTCAGGACCCAAGTGTCATTCCACTGTACCAACTACTGTGTGGTATACTTCAGTGCTAAGTGCTGGCCATAAAAAAGCATTTGCTGGGAAACTCTAAAAAATGATGCACTAGTAAATTAATCAAATTATGTTAACACATAAATCCATTAAAGTCCATGACTGCAAATAACCAATTATTTTTAACAGGCATCATTTCTCCTAGAGTAAAATGAATGCTTTATTATTTTCGTGTAAGTTGGCTGAGACTTGAAAGGGAGGGGCAGAAAATCAAGTAGGAGTAAAAAGACAAAAAAATGAATGACTTAATTATTTATTAAATTTTACATATTAATTTTATAATAAGACTATTTTTATTATTTTCAAATCAATACTTACACCTAAAGAATACACAATAAATAAAATAGCACAAAAGTACTTTTGGTGCTGAAGGACAATATGCAAAATATATAAACCTAATGTTTTAGTCATTAAAAAGTATATGTATTACTAATGCTTAGCTCTGAAATATACCAATGTGTGTATATACATGTTTATATATACTTTGATATACTTTGTATATACACTGTACATATAGATCCTCTGTGTATATAATACACATAACTCCACATATGTGTGTATATTTATTTGTTTTATTATATAACACATAAAACACATCTGTATTTTCTGTGTACATTACTGTTCTCTTAATTAAATGTGATAGAAATTTCTTACAGATGTTTCCATAGGATTGGAAATAGGCTCATTCATCAATACTTTTTAAAATATCAGCACCAATTAGGCAAATGCATGCTCATGTAGACCTGATTTCCCACCAAGATGAAATATCAAATGTTGAGTGTGTGCCAACAAAAAGTGCTCATCCAAATTCAAGTTCTGAGCTCTCTGTAACAGGGACCTCGCTGAGCTCTGGCTAGGTGAGTAAGTGGTAATAAAACATGTTTTCCTAACTTGTAATTGAAATCATTTGAGTTAAATCAGATCCACCAAGAAGGAGCAACCTAGTGCAAGTCTAAGAAACAGACTAATAAAAGCCTTCAGGAGATTTGTTGGAAAGAATTACATCAGGCTAAAGGACTTCTTGATTAGATTAAGGACAGTTAGGCATCTGAAAACATCAGCACTTGACTTTAGGCCCTGTCACTTCCTCTCCTCCCTTTAGGTTTTTAATACTCCCAATACCTGTGGACAGAGGAAAGAGGGTGGAGGAAATCTTTTGCGGGTGATGGTTTTTGCTTACCTTAGTCGTTGTATGTTTGAGGTGACTCCTGAAAGTCGGTAAATTCCATCCACAATGCCGTGAGTCTCTATAAATTCTGCACAACTCTTCAGTACATATGGAACTATGTAAAGGAAAAAAAAAATGTATTACTATAAATCTGACTGTCAAAAAGATACTCTTTTTGGGCCCTCCCTGGTGGCGCAGCGGGTTAAAGCACAGCACTGAGAATCTGAAGCCACTTCCGCATGAGTTCGATTCCCGCCTGCCGCCGAGGTGACCACATGGCGAGCCAGACCTCTCCTGGCCCGCCCGCTGCTTCCCTCAGCGGTGTACTTCGTCGATCTGCCTGTTCTTCTCCCCACTCTGTCTCTGGTGAAGCCTCTCACCGCCCCTGAGCCTCTGGCCTGTACCCCAGTTCTGTATGAATAAATAAATAAATCTTTAAAAAAAAAAAAAAGATACTCTTTTTGAAAAATCCAGGTACCTTCAAGAAGTAAGTATGGAACCATGTGAGTTACAATTGGAAACAATTACTTCTAAGTAGTAGATAATGTTTTCTTGTAGGGTTTTGTTAAAGTTCAGAAAACTCGTGTTTTCTGAGTTGTTTTTTTAAGTATGTGAAAAATATGCAGAAATTTAGATTTTGAAATCAGTGATGACCTTGAAAATCCCACAACTTAAATCTCTTCATTTCGCTGGTTCTTCAATGTGGTCTTCTGACCAACCTCTCCTGGGAAATCGTTGGGAATGCAAATTCCCAGGCTGGTCTCCAGACCCACTGAATCAGAAATGCTGGAGGTGGGGCACCTAGAAGCCTTCTAGGTGACTGCTGCACACTAAAATTGGGGACCCATTGTCTATTTTACACGTGAAGACCCAGGCACAGGTATATTTGTGTACCTTTCTCAAGATTACTTGTTGCTTATGAGAAGTTATTAACACATGAGACGAGTCTTAAGATATAGGTAGGCAGTGGAAAAAACACAAAATCAAATCTACAATGTGAATTTAGCTATTTAAAAGAAAATTATAAAGGAACATGATAAGAAGAAAATCTACCAGAATGTTAAAGGTGATTAAAGTGCTAAAGAAGTGTTTGCATTTTTTTAAGGTGTGAATCAACCCTCTTGTCCTCCCACCATCACCAGATGGGTCAAACCAGGCATTGATTAAAAGGATCACAAATAAAGACCAACATGGCCACTTGAATTCCTGCCATGAAGAGTCACGGTCTGACTACACTCTTCTTTCTTGGACTGAACTGGAACCAACACAGTGACTAAGAAATGGCAGCCACAGGTCTTCTGGATGGTAAGGAGAGAACAGCAAGTCAATTGTCACTTTGGTCCCTGGACGGACCCCCCAGAAGCCCTGAGGAGAGTGCTATGAGCAGTGGCTTGCATGGTACTAGTTCTAATGCTAAAGTCTTCAGGCTTAGGAGTGGTGTAGGAACTCCATGGAGTACTTCTTGGCTCAGCACTGTGCTCATTCCCCCTAAAACACACCCAATCCATGAATGATCTAGTAGACTAATTATCAACCTATTAATGCTTAATACACATGATCATGCCTACACACAGTTCCAGGTTGGACTAGACTTTCCATGGATGACACTGGGTGTTTAAGCACTACATTCTTCCTGGATTCTGTATGACAATACTGTCTAAACCTCCCACCATTTCCTGCAGCTACTAACTACATGGACATGGTCACTAAAATTCCTCATACTTACAAGTAGTCCACTTGTCTGTCAAAGGTCTTCCACCCCAGGGTACTTTCTTCTAAGACACAGCCATAATTTTTGCTTCTATCCTCCAGAATTGAGGCGAGGCCTCAATTTAGAGTTTAAGTTAGCTGAGAAGAGGGTAGGGGTTGGAACTACTGAGGGCAGGCTACAGAGGTAGACCCACTGGCTACATGAGTACAGGTTGGGCATGAGTATGATGGGGAGGGACTGAGTGTGAGCAGGGATCGTGAGTCTCTACCTGGCTTCAACTAGAAGGGCTCTACTCTCATCTGTTTTATGAAATAAGGTTCTTGGTGAGATGCTTGTCTCCCACTTCCATGAGAAGCTCTTTGTAGATTGTCTCATGCCTATAAACAATCACTTGGCTGTATTTGTGTTTGTTTGTTTAATGCCTGTTTGCACAAGAATAGTTGACTCTTTTCTCATCTCACCCAAGCTATTGCTCAGTAACCTGCCACAGGTGGTATATGGTGTCCAAACCCATGTTTGGACAACTGCCTAGGCAAGTTTGGGAGAAAATATGTAATATTTGTTTCTCAGTGTCCACATCTATAAAATGTGGGGTCAGTTACTTGTCACTTTGATCCCTGGACACGCCCCCCAGAGGTCCTGGGGAGAGTGCTATGAGCAGTGGCTTGCATGGTATTACTCAGATCTCTAGCACTAAAGCCTAAGTCTAGCTATGAATGAAATCTGGCTATGAGGATAACATAGCGAGAATTAAAGTCATCAGTATAAACATTTAGCACAGACCCTAACATATAAGAAGCAATCCACAATGAGAGTCATTATTTCTACTTGTCTTTTATCTGTATAAATTTATAATTTAGTGAGATCAATCTTGGTGAAAATGGAGCTTGCCTCCTCCCATCCAATGGGGACTTGGAGTAGAGATGACCAACCTCTTACCAGTCAGCATTCATCTCTACTCTTCAGCACAGCTTTTGCCTCCTTTGTTTAAATGTTTCTACTTAAAGGTAATTTGACTCAATGATGTCTCTTTTGTGTATTGAGTTGTGTCTTCATGACACCAAGGTAGCAGGATACCAATGTGTCTAGAGTCTAAGTTAGCAGGCCCAGAGCTCTTTGTCCTTGGAGTAGTCTGAACTCTGAGTTTTTGCTAAGGTATATGGCTATTATGGCCGGCAGGGAAAAGTGGACTTAAAAGTGCTGAGCATTCATAAGGATACAAAGACCAAAGCCTTCAACTGGAAGGGCCTTTATAAAGAATCCCACAACAGGGGAAGTACAGGGCCACCAACCTGTCCTCTCCTGTTCTCAGACAGGAGACCTCCCAATACCACAACTCTCTGCTGTGGCCCCTCAGGCTCTGTTTGTATTAAAGGTGGGGAAAACACCAGAAGGAGCCCCGTCATACATTTACTCTGGCTTTGGTACAGAGGCCCTAGAACCTCTTGTCCACAGCTCTGTTTAAACAAGAGACAACATTAAAACAACCCAATGGAAGAACATGGTCCTAATCCCTGAGGAGTGTTAGCTTTCCTGATTCTTGTCTCAGGTCGAATTTGACAGTGTGGGAATTCTTTATACTCAGTACACGGGAAAGGAGCCATTTAGACTCTGTAATTGTCCAACTGCAGGAACCAGAGCAGTGGTTCTCTGGCTGTGGTTCCCAGGTCAGATCTGGAAGCAGCCACAGCCTCCATGTAATTTTAATATGGCTAAAGATGAAGACCGTTAGGCTAAGGCAGAGCGTCTCATACTTTAATGTATGTACAACTCACTGGCATCTTGTTAACATACAGATTCCAGTTGGGAAAAATAGGGAGAAAGTCAGTAAACTTAGGTTTGTAACAAATTCCCAGATGACGAGGATTTTGCACATCTGTAGCCACACAGAGTAGTACCAGTGGATAACTGTAGACACAACCAAGTCTACTCTCAAAGTCTCCAAACCCAAATTTGTTGGACGCCAAACCCATGCTTTTCTCACGATACCAGACATGAAGATGAGTAGAAAACACCCCGAGCCATGCCTACCTGCCTCACAACACCCCCCCACCCTCAACCAGGAGAACAGGTTCCTTGAGTACCAACTTGTGTCCCATTTGAGAAGTCCTTGGTGCCTCCCCTTGACTCCCCCAGTGCCTGACATTCTAGCACCGTGGGCCCCATGCTAAGGTGGGGATAGCTTTTAGGTGGTGATAGCTGTGGTTGAGACCTAACTTTAAATTCATTTAGAAAAAGTTACAAAAGCAATGTATGTTGATTAATAATAATGAAAAAAGATACATAAGGATAGAGCACAGAGTGACTGTCTTCCTTTTAAACCTCCTTTCCCTTCAATGACAAAAAGATGACACACATCGAAATCTAATAATAGTTATTGTTATACAATTGTGGGAATAAGTTATTTTTGCTCGGGTATATTTTTATTTTGCTTTTTTCTGAATTTTCTCTAATGAGGTTATAGCAAAAATGGTTTTTATTTCTTTGAAGAAAGGGTTTTTTGAAAAATAAATTTCACTAAAGCAGACAGAGGGTTTTCTAAAGTCAATGAGATGATTTTTTAGATGCTTGTTGAAGTGCTTTCCAATGATGCTGTTGAGGTCTTGTTGGTCAATTGTTAAACTGTGGTGTTTGCTAATCTGCTGATGTGACATAAGCAAGACTTAGCTCTGCTCCACAGCTGAGCGGGGCTTCTAATGGCAGACTGCTTGCTGGAGTCCCCTTTCTCTCCCTCACTTCCAGGGTCTCTGAGGCCAAGTCACTTAGCTCTTAACTGTAGAAGTGTCAAGTCCTCGCTCGGTCATTATCCTGACTCATCACAGCTGGGCTGCTTAGTCTCTGCTCTCAACACACCCACTCTTCCAATTGACAGAGATTCTGTTACCAAAGTGGATGTGATGAGGGCAACCCACTGGGCTCCAATCTTTGAACTCTTTACCACTATTTGACCTAATACAACCCTCATAACCACCTTTTAAGGGAGCTATTAATCTCTGCTTTAAAAAAAAAAAAGGAAACTGAAGCTCACTGGTCTTAAGTAACTTGGTCAGCATGGAAATACCAAGCAAAATATGTGAAGAGCCTTAAAGAGGCAAAGAAATGTGATAGAAGTTCTTCTAAAAAGATTACACCTGGTGGATGGAGTCAGGCAGGACTTTTGAATGTTAAGCAAGAACAGGAAATTGGGTGCAATTATAGAGAGCTGCATGAGGGGGACCATGTTTGAGAAAGCTGAGATAGGACCTTCAGCCTCAGGAACTCACAATGTTGTGAGGTAAGTAGCTAAAAAAGGACAAACCAAGGCTGATAATAAGAACTCTGATACTGGTTCACAGGGTGATTTGAGATGTTACGATGCATTATGATGTAAATAATGCTGTGTGATACAGACTATAATATGCAGC